GATGTATCATTCCTCAGTAAACACGATTTTTTTCAAAATTTTTGACTATGCAGCTTTTTCCGGAGTTGCGCCAAATATGTTCTTAACAAAAATGCTATGATTTCTCCGGAATTTTCGATATTCTACTGTAATCTTGGTCGAGGACTATCACCACGCTATATTTTCCATTCAGCTCATCGAAATCTCCTTCTCAGAATTTTTTGTAAATTTTTAGGAAAGTTCGCCAAAACTCAAAAGTTTTTTATGCGAAATTTTTGACTTTTCTCGGGCACTGTCGAAAAACAACAAACTTGTTTTGTTGATTCCGACCTCCAAAACTTTCTTAAAGCGTCATTTTTTCGAAAATTCCTACCATTTTTCCAGAATAGTCAAAATGATAAGTGACAAATTTTGAGATATTTCAAAAATTTAATTTTGGATCCAAATATTTCGAAAACTACTTGTCGTATTAACTTGGAATGATTCTTAGTTTTAGACACATCATTCCTGAGTAAACGCGATTTTTTTCAAATTTTTTAACTACCCAGTTTTTCCGAAGTTACGCCTTGACAAAACTGCTACGATTTCTCCGGAATTTTCGACATTCTACTGGAATCTTCCTCGGGAACTATCATCACGCTATATTTATCCACTCAGCTCATCGAAATCTCCTCAGAATTTTTTGTACATTTTTAGGAAAGTTCGCCAAAAGCTCGAAAGCTTTTTATGTGAAATTTTGTACTTTTTCCTGAACACCGTCGAAAATACCCAAGAATTTGTTTTATTGATTCCTACCTCCAAAAGTTTCTTAAAGTGTCATTTTTTCGAAAATTCCTACCATTTTTCCAGAATAGTCAAAATCATATGTGACAAATTTTGAGATATTTCAAAAATTTAATTTTGAACCCGAATATTTCGAAAACTACTCGTTGTATTAACTTGGAATGATTCTTAGTTTTAGACGCATCATTCCTGAGTAAACACGATTTTTTTCAAAATCTTTGGCTATGCAGTTTTTCCCGGGTTACGTCAAATATGTCCTTAACACCGGGACTATCACCGCACTATTTTTTCTATTCGGCTCATCGAAATCTACCTCTCAGAATTTTTGTAAATTTTGGGGCAAGTTTGCTAAAAACTCATTTTTTGAGCGACTTTTTTCTTTTTCTTGAGCCCTGTCGACAATTACCAAAGGAATATTTTGTTGATTTCAATCTGTAAATGTGTCTTAAATCGCCATTTCTTCGAATATTAGCACCATTTTTCCAGCATCGCCAAAATAATACAGTAGAACCTCGATAATCCGATTCAATTGGGGATAAGGTGTTTTCGGATTAGCGATATCCACGTCCCTGAATTTTTTCACAATTTTTAGACAACTTTTTTTAAATTAAAATATTTTCAATTTTTTTCTTCAAATCTCGGTCAAATTTTGACATTTTCGAAACTTAACTAAATACATTTTCTTGTAAATTTCGAGTTCTAGAACTCACTTCCGGCATCGTTTCTTTGATAACTGCAACCGTTTTTCCAGAATCGAACGTTGAAATATCGAAATTTTCAAAAATTTTCAAAAATTCGCATTTCGTACCGATTTTTTAGAAAATGTTGCGCCGTGACCTTCAACATGCTATATTTTTGGAATCAGCATGTCGATATCTACGTCCCTCAATTTTTTCGCAATTTTCAGACAACTTTTTTAAAAGTGAAATTTTTTCAATTCTTCAAATTTCGGCCAAATTTTGACATTTTGAAACTTAATTAAATACATTTTCTTGTAGATTTCGAGCTCTAGAACTCAGTTCTGGCATCGTTTCTTTGATAACTGTAACCGTTTTTCAAGAATCGAACGTTGAAATATCGAAATTTTCAGGAATTTTCAAAAATTCGCATTTTGTACCGATTTTTTCGAAAATGTTGCGCCGTGACCGTCACCATGCTATATTATTGTAATCAGCATGGCGATATCTACGTCCCTGAATTTTTTCGCAATTTTTAGACAACTTTTTTAAACGTGAAATTTCCAATGGTTGTTCAAATTTCGGTCAAATTTGGACTTTTTCGAAACTTAACTAAATATATTTTCTTGTAAATTTCGAGCTCTAGAACTCACTTCCGGTATCGTTCCTTTGATAACTGCAACCGTTTCTCCGGAATCGAACGTTGAAATATCGAAATTTTCAAAAATTCGCATTTCGTACCAATTCTTTCAAAAATGTTGCTCCGTGACCATAAACTCGCTATATTTTTGGAATCAGCACCTTGGAATACATATCCCTGAATTTTTTCAGAATTTTTAGACAACCATTTCAAAAATGAAATTTTCCACTAATTATAGCTCCCTCACACAAATCTCGACTCATTTTTGACGGTTTTCGAAATTTAACTAAATACTTTGTCTTGTAGATTTCGGGCCGCAGAAGTCACTTCTGGTCTCATTTCTTCGATAACTTCAAGCTTTTTTTACGGTATTTTGTTGGGATTTCTTAAGAAAAACTCTCACAAGCTTTGTATCACAATTATGGATGCAAAAATTTCAAATTTCCAAGTCTTAAGAAATTTTAATTGATGACGTTCGCTCAATTTTTCTAGTAAACGCCATTTAAATTTTAGAAAATAACATACTCCTGTACTTGTGTTTTATGAATCCACCTTGAAACAAGCAAATTGTCTTATAGATAGGTCGTCTATTTGATGCAGCAATTTTTCCAACAGCTTTTCTATTTTGTCGTTTTCTTTTTCCTCTAGTCGAAATTTATTTTTACGCCCTTCATTCTTTCTTTCATTTTTTGATATTTTTAATGATAATAATTTTCCAAAAAGTATCAGCGCACTGGCAAAACGTGAAGCTGTTTCTAGCGATTTTCCCATTGGAAAATTGAAAATTGTCTCATTCATACATTTTTTTGAGTCACCCTTTCTAGATAATTTTACTACTCGGAAAAATTTTGTAATGACGTTATCAGTTTTTTGGACGGATAAATGTTGAGAAACGATTTACCATATTTACGTAACCTTAAAATGTTTGCAGGATTTAACAACTTTCGGTTTTGAAATTTCCCATATAAGTTAAATTATAAAATGACGTTATAGAATTTTGATTTTTTTTTTCAAAAATTTAGAGATCTAATTTTTTATTGGTCAAATTGAGAACCTCATTTTCAAGAAAATAATAATAATGGGGTTCAAAACATTTTGTTCCATTGTGGCTTCATTATTAATGTTAGTCCTCTGTTTTGAGGAGACAACTCATTCAAATTAAACAAATTTCTACGTGACATTCTTCCGATGTATAAACATAAACAATCGAAGTTAGGCATAGCATTTCTTGGGCTTACCTTAGAAGTTCAGATCAGGTTCAGGTTAGAGGTGTCATTTACACCACTGGTTTTAAATATATCGAAGTAATTTTGGACCAATTTTTATATTGGGATTTTGGATGAGACATTTCAATTGTCTTAGCAAAGTGTAAATATTTCAAGAATAGTTTAACTTATTTATACAACTAATTTAATAATATTTTCCAACTTTTCTACAAGTAAAATTTCTGATAATACAAATTCGTTACTTTTATAAATTATTGCTATAAAATACAGGGTGTTCCAATAGATCTCCCGTTTCCGTCTGTCTGTCCGTCTGTCTGCCGTCCCGGTTTTTATTAGACCGATAATCTCCGAAAGTACTGGGCCGATTGTTGTCAAATTATGTATTTATATTGGCAATATCATGTAGATGGTAGAACGCTAACCAAAATTTGTCTAGTCATCCCCACCAATAATGTGATGACGTCACTTCAAAATTGTACGTAGCAAATGGGTTTTAAATTGTATAAAATAATATAATCCTACGCATATAGTTTATGACTCCTTGTTAAATTTTTACCCGAAACGTCAAAATTTTTGGAAAAAAATCAGAATTCTAAAACAACAATTTGCAATTTAATTTTGAATCTTTGAAATCTTGGAGATGTTTTAAAATTATCGTAAGGATGATAAATTTTTTGATGAAAATGTTTTTGCTCATCCCCTCTAAAAAAATGATCAAAATATTGCTGAATAAATCCTATCTTAAATGTGCAAAATATGATGAATTTATACTTGTAATTTATCACCGCATTAATACTTTTTAGATTTGGTTATATAGGGTGTCTCAAAAAAATTAATGACTGAGTCAAAGTATTTTGTTGATTAAATCAAGAATTCCAAAACTGTCATTTATTTTTCTTCCGAAATAAGAAATAAATTTTATAACTAAAAATACAACAAAAGTCACAATTATAGCTCTTTTCTACAGCCTAATTTCAATCAGTTCCCACTTCCACTCTACGGAAGAACATATACCTAACCCCGCCCTCCCACCCACCTCCATTTCCGTGATTAATTTTATCTACTCTGAATGAAAAGTGGATCTTATACAGAAATAAAATTAGTCGCTAAAACTAGAAAAGGGAGGGTGGGCGGGGCTGGTACTTGTTAGGATAAGACTAACTTTGGCAAGTCACATACCTCCAAGAAAACAGAGGGTGGGTGGGTGGGGCTAGTACTTGCAACGATAATACTGAACAATATTACGGGTAGAAACTGGAATGAAATGGATGAGAGTGGGCGGGGCTATTGTCTGTCTATAAGTCTCTCTAGGGAAAAGTTAAACTTAGCCCCGCCCACCCACCCACCCTTTCTCTCATTTATTTTTCTGCTGAAATAAGAAATAAATTTTATAACAATAGTACAACAAGAAATTTTGAGAGTTTGAAAAAGTTGTCTAAAAATCCGCAAAAAATTCTGGGACGTAGATTTCGACGTGCTTATTCGAAAAATATAGGGTCTTTGTGGTCTCGGACCCCGTTTTTTGATTCTTTCTCCTTTTGTTTTTTTTTTCGCTCCTCTCTTATCCACTTTTCTCGTGCCCGTTCTGCTCTTTTTCCCTTTTTTTTGATTCGTCTCTTTTCCTCTAATTTTTCGTTCTTTCCTTTCCTTCTCTCTCTATGCCAATACTTCTTTTTGCTTCTCTCTTCCCCCTATTTACTCTCTTTCTATCCCTTCTCTCTGTACCTCGCTGTGTGCCGTTGCCTCAATTTTTTTCTCTCTAGTTTTTTGGCTTCCTTTCCCACTTTTTCTCCTCTTTCCTTCTCCACCGGCTTTCTCTTTTTTCCGCCCCTCTTTTCCCCTATTTTCGTCCTTTCTCTTCTGTTCTTTTTTCACTCTTCTGTTATCCACTTTTCTCGTTTCCGTTCTGCTCTTCCCTGTTACTCCTGTTTTCCCGTTTTTTTAATTCCTTCGCTCTCTTTGCCAATACTTCTTGCGTTTCCTCCTATTACTCCTCCCTGCCTCATTCTTATTTGCTCTTTCTGTTCCTTCTTTTGTAGCTTTCATCTCTCGCTCTTCTTCTCGTCTCTTTCCCTTTCTTCCTCCCATCTTTTCTCGCTTTTACTATTTCTTTTCCCTTCTCTTTGTTTCCCCTCCTGTTATTCGTCTCTTCTCCCTACTTTAACCCTTTTTTTTGTGCCTTCATATAAGTCATTACGCTTGTATGTGTGGCGTTCTCTCGATTTGTTTACCCACTTTTTTCCATTCTCTCTATCGCTGTATTATGTTCTGACACTTTCTCACTTTTTCTCTTCTTCGCTCACTCTTTCCTTCATCATTTCTCCCTCTATACTCCCCCAGTTTTCTCTTTTCTTCACCTCTCTCTTTGTCTCTTCTTTTCCATTTTTTTACTTTTGTTCTCTTATTCAGTCGTCTTTTTCTCTCCCTGCCCATTTTCTGCTTTTCCTCCCATTACTTAAGTTTAACACATGCGTTTTACCATCCTCTCTCTTTCTGTTCCCGTTTCCTGTTTTTTTTTCGTTCTTTTTGTCTCTCCTCCTTCTACTCTTCTCCTACCCCTACTGAGTCTTTTTTCTACACCTCTCCACCATTCTCTATGTACAGTTTTGTCAATTTCTCTCCCATACCCCCACCTCTTCATATTTTCTGGCTCTCTCTTTGAAAATTCCTCCTGTCACTCCTCCCTTCTCCCTATTATTTTCTCTTTCGGCTTTGTTTTCTTTACGTTTTATCTTTCTTTCTCCTTCTCTTTCCCCCTTTTCCGGCTGTCATTTCCACTTTCACTGGTTTTTCCCTTCTTTTTGTTTCTTCCCCTATTGCTCCTTTCTTTGTGCTACTTACTCTTGTCTTTTTGCCCCTTTCTCTGGATACCTCTATTTTTCTCTTTTGCATGGTAACTTTTTAATCGAAATGTATCTGTTTATCAATCCCAAAAATCTATATTTGTAATTTATCGTTGTATTCATTAAAGATGGATTATTTTAAGTTCAACATGGTGAGTCATCAGAATCCGATAACGGACTGTCAGTCAGTGGCGTAACATGCACACTTCACAAGGGGGTGGTCAACACGCTAGCACGAGTGCGGATAAATCTGTCAAAACAACTTTTGACCGATTTTTGAAAGGTGGAACTGTGAAGTTTTAAATATAACCCTTCTATCTACCTAAATCTGTAAAAATATATCTACATGGTGTTCCAGAAGATACAACTTTGTAGTGTTTTTCCGGTGTAGACCAAAACGTGCACGCAAATTCAAATTTCCAGCCAAAAAGTACCAGTATTTGACATGATTTCTCCTGTTCACGAGAACGCTTAATATAGTTGGCGCCTGAAGCGAAATGATGATTCACTGAATTAACAAATTTAAAACCGTTAACATTCATCATTCAAATAAATTTGTCAAAAATACATATCAAGGTATACAAACAGAAGGTGAAAATATCTTAACATTGGTGGTGTTTAAGCACCGTATTTCATGGAATTGCACATATTCCAGGGTCTAGTGATTAATAAGGGCCTCACGTGTTTCCAAACTTCAGAAACGAAGGACTTGTTCTGGAACCGTGAACCTAAATGAGATCTTCAACAACGCGTACAGGCAGTAGGAGCACAAGCAATTGTTAACTTAACAGTGCTCCACAGGGTGTGAGAATTCATGATACAAGTACAAGCGCGTTAATGTATTGATTCATAGTAAGATATTTAATTTAATGTATCTGTTTCACCTTTCTCTGGTGTTTGGCCTTTACTCAGATGGGAACACAGATAGTGGTTTAAAATATTTCTACTTATTTTAGTTTCTCTCGTAAACGTCTTCATAGGTGAAGAACAATAAGCAAATTTATGGATTATATACTTTTCAAACTTGAGTTAATTCCGGAGTTACTCTCTGTTTATTTGAGCTATGTTTTCTTGACTCGGAAGTGTTTAAATCATATATCCTCACCAGAGCGTTTGTAAACAAATTCAACATTAATAGAGATACATTTCGGTAAACATGTTAAATGCCCGCAAACCCTGAACAGGAACCAGTGTGTTAAATTCACAAAACGTAGACAAACAACCTGAACAATCTAAGGCAACTGGAAGAGAATTATTGGATGATAGATATAGTGGATAAGATAGCACAAAAATTAGAAGTTCGAAATAAAACGTGCAAAATGGCGCAGTGCAGTCAGAAAGAAAGGCGTTCGAGCCTTTGTGCACTTAGTCGCAATCAAGACCGAACCTAGTCGATAGTGTATGTAATGGAAATCCTCCACAGACAAGATAAGGTGCATGTAATGAATATTTTGGGGCGGCATTGTTGAAATAATGCGTTTAGGTAATGGAGAATGCAGAGCAAGACGTGGTTGTAATGTAATATGAATATCAGAAGTTGCAAATCAAGGTGCACGGACATGATTACAATAGTATAATGAGTCAAGTGGATTGATTCTTTGTTTGCAGACAACGAACGTCGGAAGGTTCAGACATTAATCGGTTAATCTATTTAAATAAATCAACCACATCTCATTTCAATGCACGCTGGCTTAAAAATCGCCCAGACAAAAGAATCGGATGTCGTACGTATAGCAGCATGTTGAGCAACAAAAGAATTGCGTTTTTGACATTCCAGCTATGCGCCATACTAATTGAAAAATACTTCAACAGGTTTGTTATTTTGATAAAACCTGCATATTTGCTTAATGGAGAACGACTCTAGTTAACCGCGATACGCTTCTACAAATAAAATTAGGAATTAAAAATATTTTTCTTAAACAAGCTAACACTATAATTAACTTATCCATACACCCAATCTGCACAGTTAATAAACGCAAAAAATACACTCGACTGAATTAAAACATTACATGCATTGTAGTAGCAAACGATATTATGTTAGGTTCAATCAATTTAAAATGAACATTATTAAATTATTATTAGAGGTTTAGATTTTTATTAGACATAATTTCCAGAACTCTCTACTCATTGTTGTGAAATTTTAGTGGCAGACGTTTTAAAAATGCTGTGTAGTAAAACACTAACCAAAATTTGGTCACGAAAACGTGCCACCTCACACTTTATGTGGACTTTACTAAATGCCCAAGGACGCACGATAATACCACACGCATCTGTATAACTGGTTGCCTAAATGTTTCATATCTTATTAAAAAATAAAACTAATTCATTAAATTGTCCTACATTGGTTGCAATTTTCTGAGTGCGATTAAAGATTAGAACATTTCGTTCATGAACTCTATACCAAACTAAATCACTTATTTTATTCGTTAAACATGATATTCATCAACAATAGACGTGATGTATACCGATTTCTCAAGCCGTTTGATCGTGTATATAATCAGCTACTTCAATAGATCTCAATTAGTCAGTATAGAGGTTTTAGATCATTTAATTTTATACAGGACCACGGTGTTCCGCAGAGTTCCGTCTTGGGCCCGTTACTTTTATAATTGATTTAAATTATACCACTGACTCTCTCAGTGTACACCACTACTACTACTGTACGTATGTAGATGATTTAAATCAATTTAATCAATTAAAAGTACGAATGACTCTAATTTTATAGAAAATAATTGATGGAATCCGTCCAGAGTAGTAGCACTGAAAACAACCTCAGTTTTAAGAGGAGTCAATACGTTTGGTTCTTACATCGTTTACATTTTCAGAATGTAATATATTCATTATTAACAGATTTATTATTATGCTGAGAAACGATTTACCATATTTACGTAACCTTAAAATGTTTGCAGGATTTAACAACTTTCGGTTTTGAAATTTCCTTTATAAGTTAAATTATAAAATGACGTCATAGAATTTTGATTTTTTTTTCAAAAATTTAGAGGTCTAATTTTTTATTGGTCAAATTAAGAACCTCATTTTCAAGAAAATAATAATAATGGTGTTCAAAACATTTTGTTCCATTGTGGCTTAATTATTAATGTTAGTCCTCTGTTTTGAGGAGACAACTCATTCAAATTAAACAAATTTCTACGTCACATTCTTCCAATGTATAAACATAAACAATCGAAGTTAAGCATGTACACTGATAATAATACACTATTTTCCGTTGCACATGTTTCAATAGCATTTCTTGGGCTTACCTCAGAAGTTCAGATCAGGTTCAGGTTAGAGGTGTCATTTACACCACTGGTTTTAAATATATCGAAGTAACCTTGGACCAATTTTTATTTTAGGATTTTGGATGAAACACTTCAATTGTCTCAACATGGTGTAAATATTTCAAAAATAGTTTAAGTTATTTATACAACTAATTTTATAATATTTTCCAACTTTTCTACAACTAAAATTTCTGATAATACAAATTCGTTACTTTTATAAATTATTGCTATAAAATACAGGGTGTTTCAATAGATCTCCCGTTTCCGTCTGTCTGTCCGTCTGTCTGCCGTCCCGGTTTTTATTAGACCGATAATCTCCGAAAGTACTGGGCCGATTGTTGTCAAATTATGTATTTATATTGGCAATATCATATAGATGGTAGAACGCTAACCAAAATTCGTCTAGTCATCCCCACCAATAATGTGATGACGTCACTTCAAAATTGTACGTAGTAAATGGTTTTAAATTGTATAAAATAATACAATCCTACGCATATAGTTTATGACTCCTTGTTAAATTTTTACCCGAAACGTCGAAATTTTTGGAAATAATCAGAATTCTAAAACAACAATTTGCAATTTAATTTTGAATCTTTGAAATCTTGGAGATGTTTTAAAATTATCATAAGGATGGTAAATTTTTTGATGAAAATGTTTTTGCTCATCCCCCCTAAAAAAATGATCAAAATATTGCTGAATAAATCCTATCTTAAATGTGCAAAATATGATGAATTTATACTTGTAATTTATGACTGCATTAATACTTTTTAGATTTGGTTATACAGGGTGTCTCAAAAAAATTAATAACTGAGTCAATGTATTTTGTTGATTAAATCAAGAATTCCAAAACTGAATGCAAAAGCATGTCTATAAGACTCCAGGAAAAAGTTACACTTAGCCCCGCCCACCCACCCGTTCTCCCATTTATTTTTCTTCCGAAATAAGAAATAAATTTTATAACTAAAAA